GGGACTACCGGCACTGGTGCCACCATGCTGGGCTGATTTTTACTATTTTTTGTACACATGGGGTCTCACTCTGGCTCGAACTCCTGAGCTCAAATGATCCTCCCACCTCACAGAGTGCTAGGATTACAGGTGTGAGCCACCATGTCTGGCCCCAAATTGGTTTTAATGATTGCTTCTAGCATATGGGAATTAGTTTGTGTAGTTAAAGGAAGCTTTAGCTTCATCTCTACTGTGAAGGGAAGGGAAAGGAAGGGGAAGGGAGGGAGGAAGAGGAGGAGAGGGGAGGGAAGAGGAGGGAAGGAGAGGAGAGAGGAGAGAGGAGAGAGAGAGAGGAAGAGAGGAGAGAGAAGAGAGAGAGAGAGAGGAGAGGAGAGTAGGAGAGAGAGAAGGAGAAGGAAGAGAAGAGAAGAGAAGAGAAGAGAAGAGAAGAGAAGAGAAGAGAAGAGAAGAGAAAAAAAGAAAGAAAAGAGAAAAGGAGGGAGGAAAAAAAGAAGGAAGGGAGAAGAACCCAAAGAAAATATGACAATATGTTAGCAGTTGCTAATTCTGGATGATGGACCTATAGGTATTTATGTTTTCTTTGTAAATTTTGGCTTTTGTCACCCCACCTAACTCCCCTGCACTACCTTGGGCTGCCACAGCAAAATATCATAGACTGGGTGGCTTAAACAGCAGAAATGTATTTTCTCATAGTCCTGAAGGCTGGAAGTCCAAGACCAAAGCGCCAACAAGGTTGGTTTCTGGTGAGGCCTCTCCTTCTGGCTTGCGGATCACCAGCTCCTCCCTGTGTCCTCATGCGGTCTCTTCTGTGTGCACAAGGAAAGAGGAAGATAGTTCTAGCATCTCTTTCTCTTCTTGTAAGGACTTTAGTCCCATCAGATTAGGGCGCCACTTTTCTAACCACATTTAACCTCAATTACCTCCTTAAAGGACTTATCTCCAAACACACTGTGGGGGAAGGTGTCAATAAATGAATTTGGAGGGGACACAATTCAGTTCATAACACCCCCATGACTTTTTTTTCCCAGCATATTATGGGGGTACAGATTTTAAGGTTTCAATAGATGCCCATCCCCACCCGACGTCTGAGTCTCCGCAATCGACCATCCCCAGGATGGTGCACACTCACTCACTTATGATGTATAGGTACCGCACCCCTCCCCTCCTCCCCTGCCCAATCTCCTACTTACTGTGTGTACCTATGTGCCACTTACCGGTGCTGCTTCAGTTAATACAGTTGCTGGTGAGTCATATTGTTGGCTTGTTTTTATCTTCTCCCCCCCTGTCTCTGTGACCAGGTCCCCTGCCTCGATGGATTATACACTGGAGCCCAATGTGACAGCAATTACTGACGACTACTATCCTGGTATGTTCGCAAGCCCCTGCGATGGGGAGCTTACCCAGAGGGACAGCAGGTTGCTTCTTGCCATCATTTATTGCCTTCTGTTTGTATTTGGCCTTCTGGGAAACAGCCTGGTCATCGTGGTCCTCGTGGTCTGCAAGAAGCTGAGGAGCATCACAGACGTGTACCTCTTGAACCTGGCCCTGTCCGACCTGCTCTTTGTCTTCTCCTTCCCCTTTCAGACCCACTATCAGCTGGACCAGTGGGTGTTTGGGACCGTGATGTGCAAAGTGGTCTCTGGATTTTATTACATTGGCTTCTTCAGCAGCATGTTCTTCATCACCCTCATGAGCGTGGACAGGTACCTGGCTATCGTCCACGCCGTGTACGCCATAAAAGTGAGGACGGCCAGAATGGGCACAGCCCTGAGCCTGGTAGTGTGGCTGACAGCCATCATGGCCACCAGCCCACTGCTAGTATTTTACCAAGTGGCCTCTGAAGACGGCGTCCTGCAGTGTTACTTGTCTTACAACCAGCAGACTTTGAAGTGGAAGATCTTCACCCACTTCGAAATGAACATCTTGGGCCTGTTGATCCCGTTCACCGTTCTTCTGTTCTGCTACCTTAGCATCCTGCACCAGCTGAGGAGGTGCCAGAACCACAACAAGACCAAGGCCATCAAGCTGGTGCTCATCGTGGTCATTGCATCTTTACTCTTCTGGGTCCCATTCAACGTGGTCCTCTTCCTCACGTCCCTGCATAACATGCACGTCTTGGATGGGTGTGCCCTGAGCCAGCAGCTGATTTATGCCACCCATGTCACAGAAACCATTTCGTTCACTCACTGCTGCGTGAACCCCATTATCTATGCTTTCATGGGCGAGAAGTTCAAGAAACACCTCTCAGACATACTTCAGAAGAGTTGCAGCCACATCTTCCCCTACATCGGAAGACAAATGCCCAGGGAGGGCTGGGAAAGGCCGTCGTCCTTCCACCAGCACTCCTCCCGTTCCTCCAGCATAGACTACATTTTGTGAGGATCAGTGAAGAGGAAATATCAAAACGCTTTCTTGAGTAGCACGCTAGCAGCAGTGAACAGAGGGGTGGATGTGGAAGGTTTTCAGAGTTTAGCGTGAAGGACGTTGTCTATGCTGTCGCCACCACTTGGAACGGTGACTAAAGACACAGTCGTGCCTGCCTGGCACCATCTCTGAACTGTGACTCTGTTCAGTGATGATGATGGACAAGGTGGTGACTTCAAAGGATTCTGTATGGCAAGTGAGAAAAAAATGACGCCTGACCTCCTTACATATACACAAAATACACCTTCAGAGTCCATTGGTATGCTGGAAGAAGTGGATATTGAAAAGTTTCGAACATCGAAACGAGCCTCCAGTTGTGCATTCATTGACTGATGGTGAAACAGCCAAAACGGTTCTGAATTGAGACGACTGTAATAATAGCGACAATGGAGATGACATTATTTACGCTGCAGAAAACGTGCCTGTAGACAACGTGGTGGAAATATGTGATGGGCTTACTGAAGGACTAGAGCAGTGCACATTCATAACAGAACAGGAAACCATGTCAGTTTATAAAATCAAAGAGAGACTTCTAAGACAAAAACTGTTGATGGGGCAGATAACTCTTGTTACAGTCCGGAGCAAGAGAAATAACCACCGAGTCAAATTGACAGGTCTAAAAATGAGTCTTCATAGCTGGCCAGCGGCACACCCTCTGACCCGTGGTAGCCAGGTTCAGAGTGTGGCCCCAAATGCCTGTTTTACAAAGCTTATATACCCTCCACCAAGGCACCATTGGTGACATTAAGCATACAATTGGAACATATTGGTAATACTTTCCAAGCCTGGGGGGGGGGGTCTGGGACCTGCCTCAGACCACCTGGCCGGATTTTAACAAACAAGTTGAGCAAAGCTATAGTTACAGAAGCAGATAGCACGGGTTAAGCTTAAAAGTATTTTTTCCCATTGAGTAACATAAGTAACAGAGTAACATAAGCAACATAAAGCTTTACTCCCCAGCTGAATAATCAATCAGTTACATGTTAATTGCTTTGTTTGTCCCTCCTTCATCCTTTCGGGCCCAGTTTTAAAGGTAACGGCTACTTCCTTAACCAAAATGGCTGATTCTCCTAACATGGCTGCACAGATGCTAAGGTGGCGGGCTGCCACCCTCTGGGGGAAATGTTTTAAATGCCATACAATGGAGTGGCTCCTCATCCCTAGAAGACCCACTTCCAAGTCTCTCAACTGCGTCTGATGTTTCTTCTCATCTAAAAAATAAAATACAGTGTACATAGCATCAAAGGTGGAGACCGGAAACCTGCCGTTGTTAGTTGTTGCTGCTTAACAGCTGACACAGGTATTCTGCTGATGTGACTGTGCTGCTTAGTTACCCAGAACACATTATTTTTTATTTTTTCACTGTATTAATGGTACTGTCATTTTTTTTTTTTACTTCTAAGTACTTACGTGTGAATAAATGTAAGGAAATGATTGTTTATCAGGAGCATAGAAATTCAGGGTCAGAAATGATGGTGATGTCGGACAATGACAGATAATCCACATTATCTGACATAATGGCACCTTGGCTCTCTGATGGCTCAGTGTACACAAACTTTGTTTCTTGCACAAAATTATTAAGAAGGATGTATACTATTACCTTTAGCCTATGTGTAAAGGGGTATATGAAACACAAATGGATTTTGTGTTTAGACTTGGGTCCCATCCCAAGATATCTCACATGCAAATACTCCCACATCTGAAAAAAAAAAAAAAAATCCAAAATCTGAAATACTTCTGGTCCCAAGCATTTCAAATAAGGGATATTCAAGCCGTATATTAAAGTCTCTGGGATTGTGGGTTTGTCGATTTTTTCATTTTAATTCTGCTATTTTTTGCAGTATATATCTTGGAGCAATGTTATTAGGTGCACACAAAATAGGATCGTTGCGCCTATTTTATTGAATTGACTCTTTTATCATTATGAAATGCCTCCTTTTCTCCAGTAATACTTCTTAAGGTCTACTACGCTCATCATTAATAGAGGCGCACCAACTTTTTCTGGATAAGTGTATGTGTTGTGTATCTCTGTATTCTTTTATTAAACACTTTAAACCAAACTGTTCTCCTATATTTAAAATGTCTCTTTTGTAAGCAGACTTTAGTTGGACTTTTTTCCCTCACAGAGAGAGAGGGGTTTTTATTGCCATGAGGGTACACAGTCTGGCTCCTCACAAGCAGGCCTCAGGTTTGTAATCTAGGCTTCCAGGGCAAAAACCTGGGCTCTCTGCCTCACCAGTCACTTTGCTCCCGTCACTTCCTGACTGCCACACCCGTCTCCCCCAGTGCATCAAGCCAGGGTGTACTCGTAGCGCAGACCATCTCCTGATGGAGAAGGTGACATGGCCCAGCACATAGACCCTCACATTCGCACAATATTCCAGGGTCATTTATGTCCCTGCACACATCAGCATTGGTGTCGCTAAGCAGTCCGAACACTCGGAGAGAGTTGGTTTATTCCAAGCAGAAGCCAAAGAGTACCACTATCTGTATAAAATACAGTCTTTTAAAAATCCAGTCTAATAATCTCTGTCTGTTACTTGGAATGTTTAGTCCATTTACATTTAATAAAATATATAAAGCAGACCTGGGGGGAAATGGCAGATTAGTGGTGGCCTCCAGGCTCACTTCTCCCAGAGAAGGAGGCAAAGAACTCGGACGGCTACCCGGGAGTGGACCCTTCCCGTCCCGCTCCACTGAGAACAGCACTGTGAATCTGCAGAGAAACAGTGTGGGACATGCACAGCAGGAAAGAGGTGAAAGGGAGATACGTTCGCAAAGACTGGAGAGTGCAAGGAATACAATAGGGAATAGAGTGCAGCGTGGGGGGCTGTGCCTGTCCAGCCAGCACTGTGTGATCTGACCCACAGGAGGATGCCCGGCTCCCCCGCTGACCCCCACACCCACTCAGACAGGGACACGCCTGAAGTCGGTGCAAAGTCGTGGCACAGGAAGACAGGCTCTGTGGAGAGGACACAATAGCGGGAAACATTTTGAACTTTCCGGTGCTCTGTGCTGGGACTGCATTGGGCTGGGGAGGGACTGGTCTGAGCAGTTACTTCCTGCAACCGCACAAAGGACTTTGGAGACAGGCATCTCGCCTCTGGTGGGCAGCAGGACCAGAGCACAGGAGGTGAACGCCATAAAGAGGGCTCTGCCCCTGGAAACCACTGGTGATTTAGCTGGCTCAAGGTGGGGCAAAAAGCCCAGGGCCCTCTGCTAGGCAGGTGTCAGACTGAAGGACTGTGATGCAGAGGTGACAGCTGGTGACCTGTCGATTCAACCCACCAGACCAGTTTCTGCCAATTCTTGAGTGCTCTCCCCTAATGCTAGTTGCACATGGTGGGTTGCCGCCATCTTTGGGGTCTCCAACCCAGAGATGCAGCTGTGCATGGCAGTTTCAGGCAACACCCCATGCCAAGTCCAGGGACTTTTGTACTGGACAAGGCAGACTTCACCCTTGGATGTGGGGAGAAACAAGAAGAACCATTTTCTCTGTGCAGCTGGCATGAATCTGTGGGACCGTGGTGCTGAAAAATAGTTGGTGGCCTGTTGATTCTGTCCAATGGACTGACTTAGGTCACCTAAAAAGAACATAACTCTAGGGCTTGCTCTCCAGGTTTGGGTGGCCACCAGCCTTGGGGTTTGTGGATAGAGAAGGAAAAACCTGGCCAGAGACCTCAGCAATTGCATCAATTGACCCCTCCCATCAGGAGCAGCCTTCCAAGTGTGGAGAAAGAGCCCTAAATAACACATTAATAGCTCCCCCTAGTGACAGGTCAAGCAACCATAGAAGCACACACACCCAGGCTTGTTTGTGTGCACCAGCTGCGATCTATCTTACCCCTACCCCCACATTAAGGAGAATAGGATCCAAGCAACCCTCAGGAGTGGCAAGGCCCCTCCCAAAGATCAGAGCATTTGTATATCCCATTCAGGGGACCAGAGTCTACCACAGAGACATCAGATTATTGGCTCCTCCACACAAACTACAATCAACAACAGAGAGTGTAACCCAATAGTTTAACACAGTGCCTTCCATCTCAAGCTATTAGAGGGCAGTGGAGTCATACCCACTAGGGCAATCCACCACCTTGGAGCTTAAGCTGGAAACCAAACTCACTGGTCTCCATTGGCAAGAGGTGAAGATAACAGGTCAGAGGTAACCCAAATTGTTAAAATACCCCTAAGGCAATACAGGACCAATGGTCTCTCCCCAGCTCTATCAAGGAAGGACCACTGGGGACTTAAACCAGTCCTAGCATGCCATAAACCAATCCTAGCACACCCAGTTCATGACCAAGAAGCCTGATGAGAAAGAATCAGCAAAATAACACAGGAAACATGAAAGATCAGAGAGAAAAGCCATCCCCAAAAGAAATCATTAGATCCTCAACAATGGATACTAACTTTAAAAAAATTATTAAAATGACAGAGGAAGAATGCCCCATATGGATCGTAAAAAACCTCAATGGAATTGAAGGGAAAATAGAAACTCAACACAGAGAAGCCACCCAAGAGATACAGGAAATGAATGAAAGGTTCTCTAAAGAAACTGAAGTATTATCAAAGAACCAAACAGAAATACTGGAAATAAAAGAGGCATTCAAAAAACTACAGAACACAATGGAAAGCCTTAAGAATAGGTTGGATCCTGCAGAGGGAAAGAATCTCAGAGCTTGAAGATAATGCCTGTGTGCTAAACAAATCAGATGAAGAAAAAGAACACAGAAGCAAGAGACATGAACAAAACATACAAGAAATGTGGGATTATGTAAAGAAACAAAACATAAGGATTATAGGCATCCTGGAGAGAGAAGAAGAAAATGTGCAAGGGCTGGAAAATCTATTTCTTGGAATAATGGAGGAAAACTTACCTGGCCTGGCCAGAAATCTAGATATCCAGGCACAGGAAGCACAAAGAATCCCTGAGAGACTCAATGTGAAAAGACAATCACCACATCACATAGTTATTAGGCTGGCCACAGTAAACATGAAAGAGGCAATTCTTTGAGCAGGAAGATGAAAACAACAGAAAACCTACAAAGGAAAATCTATCAGACTAACTGCAGACTTCTCAACTAAAACATTACAAGCCAGAAGGAACTGGGGATCCATCCTTAATCTTCTAAAACAGAATAATGGCCAACCTAGAATTCTTTATCTGGCAAGATTAAGCTTCATATATGAAGGAGAAATAAAGACTTTCCTAGACAAGCAATCACTGATGAAATTTGTGAACACCAAAGCTGCCCTTCAGGAAGTATTTAGACTTGCAGTATACACTGAACAGTGAAATAGACACCCACAATGGCTCAACAGGTAAAACAAAACAATAAGAATTTATCAAACAGTATGAACAAAAATCTCTCCAAATATCAATTCTCTCAATAAATGTGAATGGCTTGAATTGTCCATTGAAGAGACATAGACTAGCTGGATGGGTAAAAAAAACACAAGTCAAGTATCTACTGTCTCCAGGAAATGCATCTTATTCACAAAGATGCTTTCAGGCTCAAGGCAAAGGATTGGAAAACAGTCTTCCAGGCAAATGAAAACCAAAAGAAAGCTGGGGTAGCTATTCTTATGTCAGATAACATAAACTTTAAAACAACCAAAGTAAAGAAAGACAAAGATCATCACCATGTAGTGGTGGAAGGAAAAATCCAAGAAGAAGACTTAACAATTCTTAATATTTATACACCCAACACAGGAGCATCCAGATTCATAAAGCAAACCATGTTTGATCTAAATAACATGATAAAGAGTATGCCATAGTAGCTGGGGATTTCAACACCCAACTGACTGAACTGGATAGATCTTCCAAGCAGAAAATAAGCAAAGAAACAGTGGACTTAAACACAGCTCTAGAACAATGGGCCTCACAGACATCTACAAAACATTCTACCAAAATAAAACTGAATATACATTCTTCTCATCAGCTCATAGAATTTTCTCTAAAATTGATCACTTCCTAGGCCACAAATCAGATCTCAACAAATTAAAAAAAATAGAAATTATATTATGTATCTTCTAGACCATAGTGGAATAAAATTAGAGATCAATTCCAACAGAAGCACTCACCACTTCACAGAGTCATGAAAATTAAACAATCTATTGCTGAATGACTATTGGGTTAAGGAGGAGATCCAGATGGAAATCAAAAGATTCTCCTAACTAAATGATAATGGGGACACAAGTTATCAAAATCTGTGGGATACAACAAAAACATTCCTGAGAGGAAAACTAATACCTTGTTTCTCTCAAAATTAGACCTACCCATAAAATAAGCCCTAGCAGGATTTCCAAGCATTTGCACAATATAAGCCCTACCCTGAAAATAAGACCTAGTGATGGGCGTGGCTACACAGCGTATCTGCACAACCCATGCATTTCGTCACGGAGCGGTAAAGAAGATGAGCAGCCCTTCTCATCTGCCCCATGAGAGCTCTATTGCTTGACATGAGAGATTGGGGCCAATGGTTCTAAAGGAAATAGAGTCACAAGAAATTTAGGATGGAATTCGGGGTTTGGAGAATTATGATGATGTTCCAGAAGACAACTTAACTATATTTGAATAAATGTAGATTGTTGTACCGTACTTAAAAAATATAAAACGTCCCCTGAAAATAAGCCCGAGGGTGTCTTCTTGAGGAAAAATAAATATAAGACCCTGTCTTATTTTCGGGGAAACACGGTAGCATTAAATGCTCATATCCAAAAGACAGAAAGTTCACAAATCAATAAACTAATAAACTGTCTCACGGAATTGTAAAAGGAAGAGAAAAATCAATCCTAAACCTAGTTGAAGAAAATAAATAATTAAAATCAGAGCAGAACTAAATGCAATTGAGAACAAAAGAACTATACAGAAGATAAACGAAACCAAAAGTTAAACAAAACCAAAACATAAACAAAATTGACAGCCTTCTTGCTAGATTGACAAGAACTAGAAAGGAAAAGACTCTAATAATGTCAATTAGAAATGAAAAAGGAGAGTTCACTAAAGATATCACATAAATACAAAACATTATCTTTGAATACTATAAAAATCTATATGCCCCCAAACTATAAAACATAGAGGAAATGGACAAATTCTTAGAAACATACAACCTTACTAGGCTTAATCAGGAAGAAATAGAATTCCTGAACAGACCAATATCAAGCACAGAAATTGAAGCAGCAATTAAAAATATTCCAACAACAACAAAAAAGTCCTGGAGCAGATGGGTTCACACCTGAATTTTACCAAACTTACAAAGAAGAACTCATACACATACTGCAGAAATTATTCCACAACATTGAGAAGGATAGTATCCTCCCCAATTCATTCTATTAAGCCAATATAACCTTGATACCAAAGCCAGGAAAGGACACAACAAAAAAAGAAAACTACAAACCAATATCCCTCATGAATATAGATGCAAAAATCCTCAACAAAATCTTAGCAAACCAGATCCAACAGCACACCAAAAATAAGTCATCATGACCAGGTGGGCTTTATCCCAGAGATGCAAGGGATATGCAAATCTATAAATGCAATTCACCACATAAATAAAAGCAAGAACAAAGACCATATGATTCTCCTAATAGATGCAGAAAAAGCATTTAGCAAAATTCAGCACACTTTTATGATAAAATCTCTTAACAAAATAGGCATAAATGGGTCATACCTTAAAATTATTAAAGCCATATATGATAAACCTACAGCCAATATCATACTGAACAGGGAAACACTGAAAGCATTCCTGCTTAGAACTGGAACCAGATAAGGTTACCCACTATCTCCACTTCTATTCAACATAGTGCTGGAAGTCCTTGCCAGAGCCATCAGACAAGAGAGGGGAATTAAGGGTGTCCAAATGGGGGCAGAAGAGGTCAAACTCTTACTCTTTGCTGACAATATGATATTATATCTAGAAAATCCCAAGGATTCGACCAAGAGACTCTTGGAATTGATAAATGAATTCAGTAAAGTCTCAGGATACAAAATAATGCACACAAATCAGTGGCATTCATATATGTCAATAACAGTCAAGCCAAAAATCAAATCAAAGACACTATACCTTTCACAATAGCATCAAAGAAAATTAAATATTTAGGAATATATTTAACAAAGGAGTTGAGAGACCTATATAGGGAGAACTACAAAACACTGAGAAAAGAAATTACAGAAGATGTAAACAGATGGAAAACTCTACCATGCTCATGAATTGGCAAAATCAACATTGTTAAAATGTCCATACTACTTATTAATGCACATAATTAATGCATAATTAATTACATAATTAATGCACACCCTATTAAAATACCATCATCATTCTTTACAGATCTAGAAAAAATAACTCTACGCTTTGTATGGAACCAGAGAAGACCTTGTATATCCAAAGCAATCTTAAGCAAAAAGAGCAAATTGAAAGGCATCAATTTACCAGATTGTAAGCTTCACTATAAGGCTATAGTAACCAAAAAAGCATGGTATTGGCACAAGAACAGAGATATAGACCTTTGGAGCAGGACTGAGAACCCAGATATAAAACCATCCTCATATTGTCATCTAATCTTTGACAAAGCAGACAAAAATAAACACTGGGGGAAAGAATCTCTATTCAATAAATGGTGCTGGGAAAACTGGATAACCACATACAGAAGATCGAAACTGGATCCCCACCTCTTACCTCTCACAAAAATGAACTAATGATGGATAACAGACTTAGAACTAAGGTATGAAACCTTAAAAATTCTAGAAGAAAATGTTGGAAAAACTGTTATAGACATTGTAGCCTAGGCAAATAATTTTTATGAAGAATACCGCCAAAGCAATCACAGCAGCAAAAAAATAAGTAAATGAGACCTGATCAAATTAAAAAGCTCTTGCACAAGCAAAGGACACTATCATTAGAGCAAATAGACAACCTACAGAATGGGAGAAAATATTTGCATGGTACACATCTGATAAAGGACTGATAACAAGAATCTATATAGAACTTAAGAAAATTAACAAGAAAAAATAAATAAAAATCCCATCAAAAATTGGGCAAAGGATATGAACCAAAACTTTTCAAAAAAAGACAGAATAATGGCCAACAAAAATGTAAAATAGTGATCAATCTCTAATCATTAGAGAATTGCAAATCAAAACCACAATAAGATATGACCTAACTCCAGTGAGAATGGTGTTAATCCAAAAGTCCCAAAACAACAACAACAAAAGTCCCAAAAGTCCCAACAAGTCCCATCCGCTGGCACGGATGTGGAGAGATAGGATTAATGGTGTTAATCCAAAAGTCCCAAACAACAACAACAACAAAAGTCCCAAAAGTCCCAACAAGTCCCATCCGCTGGCACGGATGTGGAGAGATAGGAACACCCTTACACTGCTGGTGGAACTGCAAATTAGCACAGCCCCTGTGGAAAGTAATTTGGAGATATCTCAAAGAACTAAAAATAGAAATACCATTTGATCCAGCAATCGCACTATTAGGCATCGACTGAAGAAAAAAAGACATTCTATAATAAAGACACCTGCACTTGAATGTTTATGGCAGCACAATTCACAACTGCAAAGATGTGGAAACAACCCAGTGCCCATCAATACATGAGTAGATTAATAAAATATGACATATATATGTGTATATACATACATATATATATATATACATATACACCCCATGGAATACTATTCAACTACAAAAAACAATGGTGATTTAGCACCTCTTATATTATCCTGGATAGAGCTTGAGCCCATCCTTCAAAGTGAGGTATCACAAGAATGGAAAAACAAGCACCACATGCACTCACCATCAAATTGGTATTAACTGATCAACACTAATGTGCTCACATGGAAGTAATATTTATTAGGTGCCAGACAGGTGGAAGAAGGGCAGTGGGGGATGGTAAATTCACAACTAAGGGGGAAGGGCACACTTGTAGCTCTGGCTTGGGCGAGACAAAGCATTATATGTAACCAAAATGTTTGTATCCCCATAATATTCAGAAATTTAAAAAACTAGAAACTAAAAGAAATAATATATATCTATATCTATCTCTAAAGCAACAGCACAAAAGGCCAGAGGGGATAAATGGAGAAGTAGATGAAATTAAACATTTGTATGGTCCTTGCATTATTTAAAAAATCTTTAAAGTCCTAATTTAAGATTAACCATAGCAGGTTAGAGATGAGTACTAAAATTACTATGACAACCAGTAAAAAAAAGTACAAGAACATGTAACTAAAATGCTAATGGAGAGAAATGGAATTAGAATAATACTTAACACAAAAGAAATCAAGAAAAGAACAGGAAACAGATGTGACAAATAGAAAACAAACAGCAAGATGGTAGAATTGAACCCAACCATATCAGTAACAGATAGCAACCGATAGCTCTCATATCACTGAGTTGTTAAGCCAACCCTAAAACCTCCTACCTCTAGACTCCTTTTCCTATAATTAAGGTAAAACCAGAGGCATGACAACTCACTGAAATACGTGATCCTAAATTGGATTCTGGATTGCAGAGAAAATGCTATGATGGACAGCTTGGGGACAACTGGTGAAATTTGAATTTGGACTGTATGTGAGATCATGTAAGTATTCAAAGAGACAAAACAGAGAAACACTTAGAACAGTGCCTGGGATATAGAAAGCACGACAATTAATATTACCCGTCATTACCTACAGGATGTAAGCCCCATCTGTTTTGTTCACAGCCATATCCGCAGAGCCTGGAACACACAATACATGCTTAATTAATATTTGTTGAATGAATGAACGAATAAGCTGTGTTCCTGCAACAAGACAGAGCTAAGAACTAGGGCGAGGTACCCACGGCCAACTGTCTTCACACGCAGGGACTGACAGTGTTCACTCTGGTTCCTAGTCATCGTTGGTTACCCCGGTGACCCTTGGCCTGCAAAACATTCTAAGATTGATCCAATTGTTCCAGGCACCTGGTTAATACAACCAAAAATCCCTCTGGGAGCTCTAAAAGTCAAATGCATTTGTAATCTACTAACTCACAATTACTTAATACCCCTTCTAGTTCTGCTCCTCCCTGCTTCGCCTGGCAAGGGAAGAGGGAGTGGACTGTGCTGCTGTCGCCTTATGTGGCCTGCCCATAAGGCGACAAAGACAGGCTGTGATTGGCTGAGGTTGAGCCTTGGGCCAGTGCTCATTTACTACGAGGAAGGCTGGCCTTTGTGAGTAGGTTCAGTGGGCATTTCTTGGCTGGACATCATGCTGCAGAGAGGTCTCAGGTGGCTTGTGGGGCACCGACAGGCCGCACCCCTTCTCCAAACGCTGGCCGGCCAACACCTGCCACCCGGGTCAACCTGGATGCCAGCCCAGCCCATCAGCGTGAGTATCCTCATTGCTTGCCAGATGCCGGGCAGCAGAGGCCAGACGTAGATTCTCAGAGGGAGAAAGCTGAAAGAGACCTTAGATATCATCCAGTCTGCTGCTCTCCTATGACAGATGAGGAAACTGAGGCCTGGAGATGCAAGTTGGCCTGCCCAAGGCCACAGCAGTTAGTGGCAGAACAGAGACTTAGGGCTGGGGCTCTTGATCCTTAGAAGGTTCTCATTCCACTTGGCTCTATTATCCTATATTGGGGGTGGCGCTGTCAGAGTGAGGCTGTCCAGGGCTTAGAGACAGTACCTAGAGTTCCCCACTCTCACTGTGTGGCCACGTTGTGGTTTCTCCTGAACATTTCTGATGTGGGGAAGTTAGGTTGCCAATCCTAAGAGCGGCAGAATGGGGAAAGAAAATCTGAGCAGCGGCAGCTCAAGGGATAGCAGTAATCACATTTTAATAAGATATTTTCTGGATTAAAACAATAGTAGCCAAAATTAAGAATAAATGGTGTGCAAATTAAGTGCTAATAAGCAGCACCAATTAGATGTCATCCCTTTTCTATTTTCATGAGAAACCACATCCCCCCAAAAATTTGAGTCCAGGCTTTGTTTAATATGATCAGCGCTAGAAAAAAACTCCTTGGGCTCACCTAGAGGAGGAAGAATTTTTCTGTTGGATTCAGATGAAACTAACATCTTGGAGAGCTTGCTCTGGCATGTGCTGAGTTAGGTGCAATCATATATCACATATATCAGGTGGTATTCTCATGTTACAGATTTGTAAACTGACGCTGAGCACAGTTAAGCGACAAGCAACAGTTAAGTGCAGTGTGTAAATGAGATGAAGTTTTGAAGACTGAATTCCAAAGCTAGTCTACCACCAACTAGCTCACAAGAGAAGAGATCCCTGCAGGAGGGTAGTAACAATCTCGATCTTTCTTGGGTATTAGGTTCTCCTCACCCCACCCACCTCCTTCCCCTACCCACGCACATACTTAAGAGCCTGTCTGTAAATAATTGAAGAATCTGTATATCTTTCCATCTATTTAGGTAGAGAAGGGCATGTGCGGGGAACTGTGAATAAGCTAGATAAATGAACCAGAAAAAGTAGAAACTGGACCAAGAATGGCTGATTGGCCATTTGGAAGGGCTGATTGGCACCAGTGATTACAAACAATAACCAGGAAAAACGTACAAGAAGGTGTTGGCATGTAATAGATTATCCAAAATTCCTGGTAGTGTGGAGAAAAATCTAACCTGCCATTCTGCTTCTGTAAACTCTGCTCGCTCAACCCTACTCCCTCCTCCGCCGGCGCCACTCTGTAACTCCCCAGCCTTTAGTCCTGGAACTACTGACCAAGATTAAGAAATTAGACATGAGCTCATCTGGTTACATGTTTGTGCAAGGTCAAAGCCCATGAAACTTTCCCCCACCCTGTGACCCCTAGCCACCTGCGTGTGGTTTCTGTCTATAAAAATCCTAAGGAAAAAAGGTCGGGGCGGCAAGCTTCCTTAGCTCGCTTGCCCCCGCGCGCGCTGGTAAATGAATCCACCTCATGCTATTGCATCAAGTCTCTGGACTCTGAGTTTTTTTGAGCGGTCGTCTCTCCCCCACACGGGCTGTACATTTCTGCGGCCCAACAGTAGGAGGGCTGGCTACCCAGACTCAATCCTCTCTGTTTGCCAGAAAAAGGAATCTCTGGTTGAGCCTTCCAATTATAATGGGACAGTACAGAGACATAATAAACCAGTCGACAAAGATGAACCGTTTTGGAAGCAGAGCCTGGAGGACTTGTGGGGCAGGAGAGGCACAGTGGAGTTGGAAGCTGAGAGGAAAGAGGCAGGGGAAAACTGTGTCTTTGAATTGTGTATTAGCTAGACTCCCCGGTGTCACTAACGACTGACCAGTTTGCAAGTTCCCATGTGCAAAAAGAGAGTCTTCTAACATGCAAAGCTGATCGTTTAATTTTCCAGCTTAAAACTTTTCAGGATAGGCCAGGCGCTGTGGCTCACACCTGTAATCCTAGCACTCTGGGAAGCTGAGGTGGGTGGATTGCTTGAGGTCAGGAGTTCGAAACCAGCCTGAGCAAGAGCAACACCCCGTCTCTACTATAAATAGAAAGAAATTAATTGGCAACTAATAATATATAGAAAAAATAGCCGGCATGGTGGCGCATGCCTGTAGTCACACAGCTACTGGGAGGCTGAGCCAGGAGGATTGCTTGAGCCCAGGAGTTTGAGGTTGTGTGAGCTAGGCTGACGACATGGCACTCACTCTAGCCTGGGCAACAAAGCGAGACTCTGTCTCAAAAAACAAAAACAAAAAACAAAAAACCAAAAAAAAAAACTTTTCAGGATAAAGCTGACATTCTTTAACACAGCTGATTGGGCCCCAGGCTTTCTCCCTGGCCTCCTCCTTCCATTCGTTCCCTCCCACTAGACATTCCCACTTGTACAGTTCTGGGAATCTGACATGCTCTTTCCTACCTCTGGGCATTTGCACATGCTCTGCTGGTGAAAACAGGCCCGTTTATTATATAAGTGCTTGAAAGAGTTTGTCAGACTGGAATTGTACTGAGACAGTCCCCTGCCTCTTGTGGACTTTTCAGGTCTCGAGCAGCAGCCACCTCCAACCTGATAAAAAGGATTATTCCCTCCCCAATGCCAGCTGGAGCCCCATCATGGTGGAGATGTACAATGAGCTCATGGAGAAGACTGTAGACGGGTCATGGACAAGACTTCCAGGCTCCTGGCGCTCTATGCAGTTCATTAAAGAAGGAGACCTCGCTAAGATTGCTAAAGCTGTCCCTGGTATGTTCAAACCCTTGGCATCAGGAGTGCTTAACGTGGGCTTGAGGGAGACGCTCATAATCCAGAACTCTTGGTGAAACTTTGTTTATGCATGCATGTCTTCCTCAAGGCAGTCCATGCCCCAGCCCATCTCCTATGCCTCCCGTGTGGCTTGCACGAGCCCGAGAGCCAGGACCAAAGGCAGTCTGGATGTGACTCGTGTGATAGATATTAGTCCCGGACTCATGCGATACATATTAGGCCAGAAAAGGAACTTGGAGGCCACTTAGTTCAACACCCTCATGGTACAAGTGAGAAAGCGGAGGCCTAGAGAGGGGATCCAGTGAGTTTGGGGGCAGAGACTGGACTAGCATCAGGAACTCCTGACTCTTGGTTCAGTGCTCTCTCCACTCCCATCCAAAGTCACTCCTGGCATCTCCTTATGCCCGCCCGTCCCACCTGGTCTCCTGTGTAGACCAGACAGGAGAAGTATGAGTGAAGAACTAACTGGAAAAGAGCGCTGCTTGGGATTAAAGCCCCCGCCTTCACCCTGGTGCGCCCCAGGCAGGTAGCTCAGGGTCTCACGGAGCCAGAACCTGCTGGGGACGGGACACATGCCCCCTCTAGTGGCCAGTTTGAGCTGAGCGTCTGAACAGGTGAGGGGGGGCGGGGCCAGGGAGGGAATGGGAAAGGATGGCAGGGGACCGTGTACAGCAGTAAGAGACAAAGCATCAGAAGGAAGACTCCCAATTTACATACCCAATCTGTCATTAGAAGTCCTGCTTTGAGATCCTGGTAAAAATGCAGGTGTTTGGTAAGTATTTAGAGGCTTCGCTCTAATTAAGGCCCATAAACCCTCCCCATCTACCTTGGAAGCGCACTGCATAGAAAAATCTCACTGAAACAAATCTCATATCTGTTGGGGGTTAGACGAGGGGACATATTTATTTATTTTACAGAAAGGGCTTTCTCCTTGGTGTGCCGAAGTCAGTGCATCTCAGATTAGCATTTCTTATCCAGTAGATAGAATTAGCTGTTTCCTGATTTCATGGGTGGGTCCCTCCTCCTCCCCGACCCTCCCACACTGAGCATCTCTTCCCCTCCCTGGAAGCTGCTCTCCTCCATCAGAGGACAGTGCAGGGCCACTCCAGAGGTGCAGAGGGTTTCCTGAGGACCTCCTCTGGCCAGGTGCCTTCTGCCCTGGAGAGCTGCAGCCCTGGAGGTCAGACTCCGGCCTGAGGTCCCTCCCACTGACTCGACTCTTCTCTCTAGTCCGAATGATAGAAGACGCCCGCCTCTTTCTCAGGATCACAGAGGTGGAGGGACTTGGCTTTGAGTATGTCATCTTCCACAATGGCTCGGAGAAGAAGTGTGTCTGCTTGTTCCAGCCTGGGCCCTTCCTGGAGGGTCTGCCTGGGTAAGGGAGGGAGGGCCATCCCAGCGACAGCTCAAGTGGGCTTTGATTTGGTCAAAGAGCAGGGAGGGGCTGTGAGGCCAGGTGGCAGGCCTGCGGCCGCCTCCAGCAGGTTCTTGGTTACTGAAGTGTGGAGGACAGCACAAGTCTCATTCCACTGGCCCCTGGGCTCAGCCACCCATTCAAGGTGTGGCCTTTTGGCCTCTCCCTGTTAGGGAATTCTTCTTCATTGACGTTCAACAGCCTAAGCTGCAGGGGAGTAAGCAATAGGCATTAAAAATGAGAAATGGTAGGCTGGTTGCAGTGGCTCACGCCTGTAATCCTAACACTCTGGGAGGCCAAGGCAGGAGGACTGCTTGAACTCAGGAGTTCAAGACCAGCCTGAGCAAGAGCAAGACCCTGTCTCTACTATAAATAGAAAGAAATTAGCCAAACGACTAAAAATGGGAAAAAAATTAGCCGGGCATGGTGGTATATGCCTGTAGTCCCAGCTACTCGGGAGGCTGAGGCAGGAGAATCGCCTGAACCCAGGAGTTTGAGGTTGCTGTGAGCTAGGCAGATGCCACGGCACTCTAGCCCGGGCAACACAGTGAGACTCTGTCTCAAAAAAAAAAAAAAAAATGAGAAGTGGTAAAAACTATCCTTGTTCAGTGCCTGGTATATACCAGACCCTGTACTGTGAGCTTTGGCTATGTTTATTTAATGCTCACAAAAATTCTTAGAAGGAGATATTATTTTTTTCTATTTCATAGATGAAGAAACATGTGCCCCAAGTGGTTATGTGAGTGAGGTCACGTGGTGAGAAATGTGGGATTCAGAGTTAGGTCTCTCTGCCTGCAAAGCCCAGGCAGCTTTCACTGACCATTCTATTTCCATCTGAGAGGAACCCTGGAGGGAACACAAGACTCATCAGCATTTGAGGTTGAGGCAGGTGGTGGGGTGGAGGGCTACTTCTGCCACCACCCCCTCCTGAGCAGGTAGAACTTGCAGGGGACAGCCTTGCTTTTGTCTTGCTCTCTCTCCTCTGCCCCACCCTGAGTGATGCCGGACTCTGGTCCTGGTTTGCGGGGAACTTGTCAGCATTTTGTCACCGCAGCACCTGGCCGTGTGGAGCAGAGTGACTTTACTTTCCCTTTCTCCCCTCATCTGGCCCTGCAGGATTCTCCACGGAGGTGCCCTGGGGACCATGATAGACACCACGCTTTTCATGACAGCGTATAACAGTGCCAATGCAGTCTTCACAGGGACGATGACCATCGTCTTCAAGAGGTCTGTTTCCTTGCTGGGGTTCCAGTTAGGAGTAAGCTGGTGTGGGGTTATTCCACGTGTTGTGATGGAAAGTGTGGGTTCATGCAGCCATCCTGATTGCAAAGAGGAGTTTCTACTTCTGATCTTCACATGGACCAATCCAACCTTTTTAGATGTTCCTTTCTCATCCAAGGACAAGGTAACAAGCTTGAAGATGGTTTATGTATTCAAACATAAAAATATTCTACATAAGACGATGATGAACTATTTTTGGCCACTTCTGGTTTAGAGAAAGCTGACCAAGGTGCCTGTAAATATTTAAGTCAGTTCGCAAATAATTGCACAAAGATCATTACCTACAATAATGACACCCCCTTACATGTAATTAGCCCTTTATGAGAACTCTTCCATAGACATTATTTCATTTGATCTTTACAGTAATCCTGAGAGGTGGGTAATATCATCTCCAAGTTGACAGATAAGAAAGCTGAGGGGAGTGCACAGCTAGCAGGTGACAAAGCCAGGATCAAATGCAGGAATTGCTGCCTGATTCCAAAGTCCACTTGCTATATGCACATTGCTACTGTGCCTCAGTGGTCTCTTGAGGACACACAGGAAAGAGCAGGATATAGCCTCTACCCTCCTAGGAGGGGAACAAGGTAGATCTGTCAGGGATATATATATATATATATATATATATATATATATATGTATGTATATATATATACACATATATATGTATATGTATGTATATGTATATGTATATGTATATACAAATAGGGTAGGCTGTCGAGCTGGGAACTCTTGGGCAGGAGCCGGTGCCCTAGTCTTGAGGCAAAATTTATTCTTCCTTGAGTTAGCCTCAGTTTTGTCCTTAAGGCCTTTCAACTGTTTGAATGAGGCCCACCCAGATTATCAATGATAATGTCCTTCACTTCAAGTCAACTTATTACAGATGTTAACCACATCTACAAAACACCTTCACAGCAACACCTAAATTGGTGTTTCATCAAAAAGCTGGGTACTATAGCCTAGCCAAGTTGATACACAAAACTGACCATGGCTTATGAATAGATAGAGCCATTCTACCAAAGATAAAGAAAACCTTTTGTGTGTGGATAGAGCTACTTGATGTTAACCAAGTGGGTTCGGTTCTGCCCTGTGGGCAATTCAGACCAGTCAGAACCTGGGGGAACTGTGAGCATAAAATATGTGCTTATGTTTATAAACTTTTAGCCAACATGTTGCATATGTGTCCTCATTGGGAAGACAGCAGGAAAACAAGAGGTGCTTGGTTTTTCCAGAAGATGGGGAACTGATTTGTCAAAATGTTGATGGGGTGATTTGTGGTTTCCTGTGATGACAAAACACAAAATGCCACACTGCCTGGGCTTGCTTTATGGCTCATCTTTCTTCCATCATTCCCGACAACTTGGCCCTTGGAGTGAAATCTGAGAAGCCCCCTCTGGCAGGGGCACTGGCCACTCCACTGAGTCATTCGCCTCTCCCTGGGAGACCAGCAGGTAAGCTGCTCTAACTCATTGCTCTCTCGTAGCCCGGTCATCCTTGGCTCAGTGGTGAGGCTAGAGGCAAGAGTCACTGGCACAGAAGGAAGAAAGGTGTTTCTTTCTTGTGAAGCCCAGAGCAGCGACAGGACCACCGTCTTTGCTGAAGCTTCTGGTAAAGCCATTCGAATTCTCTTTTTCCTGCTGTTTGTGCCCATCCTTATGATGAAGACAGTGCCCTTGGAGACTCTTAAAGCCTCTCTTTCAGACTGTGTGTGTTTGGGGTAGAAGCGAATGTTCAAATGGACAGGAGCCTCCATTAGTTTATAGGATAGAGACCATCACAAGACACCCATGAGACTTCTCTGAGAGGCCAATGGGCATAGAGAGGCTTAAGAAGGTGGGCGGGGGGTTGGGGGAGGGGATTGTGGCAGCAGAGGGTGCATGGTATCTACCCTCTCACCCCCTACTGGCTTCCAAAAGGTGAAGGTTGGGCTCATTGCTTTGGCATCAGTAGAAAAAAGAATGCTGATCTTTCCAGAAGTAGTGCTGGCTCCAAGCAGGCATAAAGATCTCAGTGAGCTGGTTTTCCTGGAAGCATGGGGAGGGGGGATGACTCACCTGTGTGCTCTTCACCCATCTAGCCATCTTCTTGCAAATGAAATGACACAGACACAAGGCACTGCAAGGCTCATCTCCTGCTCTGGCAGCCAAGAAACAGGAAACCAAAGCCCCCATTGGAGCAGATTCTCTCCCTCCCATTCACCTCCAGCTTCCCACGTGTACTTTTACCTGTCCTTCTTGCATGGTGGAAACTCCTCCAAAAGCTTTCTGTGAATGTCAAAGCTTTCTGTGAGTAAAGTTTTAAGAGAAGGTCATGTATCCAAAGTAACATATGTGTATTTCTTCCTGGATGGAGTGTGTCTACAATTCGTGGGGTGGGAAAGCATCATGTAATCCCATCATCCCCCTCAGAACACAAGGGCCACTTCGGGTCCTTGAGGGACTCAACATGTAATTGGGTGGAGTTAGGTCATAGCAGCCAAATCATCCTTCCCTGACTGCAGATAAATCAGAGAAGCCTTGCCTGATATTAATAACCTTGTTTTGAATTCAAGTCACACAATATTTTCCAGATATTTTTTCCTTTCTTTTTTCTGAGTGAGGGTTTCACAATCAGTTTTTCCTTTTTTTTTAATTCACTCCCCCAACCTGGCCAATGAGCATGCGCCAATTCCCCCCTCCCCCGCACGCCCCCATTTGCGGATGGGTAGTGCTCCTTTCACAGGATAATTATATCTCTGCATCCCCACAAACATGGGGTGGGGGAGAAGCGGAAGAGAAGGGACTGTGGGCTCCAGGGTTGTGAGTGTGGCAGGAACAGATACGGATGAGGGAAAACCTGAAGCTGCCATTAAAAGCCAGCGCATTTTTTTCTGAGCCCAGAGCCAAGCAGGTACACCTGTGAGGGTGAGGCAGTGGACAGCAGACTGTCACTCTAGGTCCTACCTCTGCTCTCACCCCCGGGGGGGGTCAAGAGCAGCCTCTGAAATACTCCAACCCATGATTTCTCAAAAGTAGAAATTCTTGCCTTACGGGAGTGGAGGGAATTAGGTCTCTCTTTTAAAAGAAGTTTTAGCATAGTCATCAACATTGCACAAAGAAAATGAGCCTTGTAGCTTAGAACAAGAGGTAGCAAAGTATTTAATTGCTAGGCAGGTTTGTATTTTTAAAATTGTTTGTACTTTTCTTAATCCTCTTAGGAAATAAAGGGGCCGATTTCTGGTACCTCAGAAGCACATGAATGAAGCCTTAAAAAAATATGACCTTGCTCCCTCAGTCATCAGTATCATTTTCTGACCTAGAGTTTCTGCATGAAGAATGGATGGTGTAAAGTAGCAAAGATTGCTGTAGTGAACTAAAATAAAATCTGAAGTCCTCCAGCCAACTGAATGGACCCCCTCTTGGCCAAGGGGATCCCAGTAATACCAGAAAGCTGAGTTGCTGGCCATGAGAAGAGGGTCAGATAGGCCTCATCATCATGCCCCCCTCCCTTCCTGGAGATATCCTTTGTAACTCATTTACAGGTCTAAAGCTATGCAAGACAAAGCTTAAACCACACCTGGTGGGCATCAATTTACTTAACAGATCCCTTAAGTGTGGGTGGCTTATCTCTGATTAACAGACTTCCTCATCTTAAACCTTTCCAAGCCTTTAGACAAAGCTTCTTTAACCAATTACAAATCAAAGAATCCTTAAACCCACCTATAACCTGTAATTCTCCACTTGGAGATGTCCTATCTTTTGGGGCCAAACCAGCGTTCTCCTTCCATGTATTAATTTACAACTTGATGCATAAGTCCTGTCTCCCTGAAATGTATAAAACCAAACTGTAACCCAATCATGGTGAGGCTTCTTGGGCGTGGGTGGCTCTCTGGGCCATGGCCACACATATTCTGAATAAACCTCTTTAAATTATTTTATAGTAGGTTCTTTTCCACTGACGCTATGAAAAGTTCAAACATTATTCTGCAGATTCCCAGGGCCACTGAAAGTGTGTGCCTGCATTTCCAACATGAGTGTCAGGATCCTTGCTTGCAGTAATACTTTTCCATGGGCCAGCCACACATGCATAGTGAGAAGTTGGGAACCCACAAAAGCTATTGACAGAGTCCAGATGAGCCATAAACTAGAATTTTAACCATCGACCAGCGCTGTCTGATGGAAATATAATGTGGGCCACATGTGAAATTTTAAATGCCCTAGTAATCACACTACAAAAGTAAAAAGAAACAGGTGAAATTAATTTTAATAATGTATTTCGTCTAACCCAAATATACTCAAAATATCATGTCAACATATAAAAACTATTAATGAGATAGTTTTCCTTGTAAGTCTTAGATATCTGCTGTGTAGTTTATACATAAAGTACATATCAATTCCTAGGCTAAATTTTTAGGTTTAAAGGGAAATGTAGTCCTGTCAAAACAATAGTCATGCCAGGCGTAGTGGGGTCCCACCTGTGGTCCTAGCCATTTGGGGAGGCTGAGGCAAGAGGATCGTTTGAGCGCCTGAGTTCCAGGCTGCAGTGAGCTAAGATCGTGCCACTGCACTCCAGGTGGGTGACAAAGGGAGTCCCTGTCTCAAAAAACTTTCCACACTGCTTCAGTTTTTCATATAATTAATTAATTAGCGTTAAATAAAGTTTAAAACAGTTCTTCCGCCACACTAGCCACATTTCAAGTGCTCGACAACCGCAGGCGGCTGGTGGCTGTCGCACTGGGCAGAGCAGGTGTCGACTTTCGTAAATACGCCCAGACCTTCCACCCACAGGCGAAGTTCCTCAGGTGCCCCAGCAAGCCCGGGGCGCTGGGAGCCGTGGACCCTGCAATTCCGGGCGTTTTCACCAGGTAGCGCTAGGAGCGCTCCCCAGGCGCCTGCCCAGCGTCCCTCCCCGGAAGCAAAGCTCCCCGTGCACCCCGTCCCTCCGGCCTCCTCCACCCGCGGGCGCACAGGCCCTAATCTCCGGCGTTGAAGCCCGCGGCGGGGCAGGATGGGCAGGAGTGCAGAGCTGTGGAGTCCGCGGGCCGGGTGAAGACCGGCGAGCAGCTGCCGGGGCAGGACAGTTCGGCGCTCGCAGCCACGCGCGGGCGGGCCGTGGGCGCGCAGCGCCGAGACGCGCAGGTCCGGGCCCCCGGCGGCTGGTGCTTACGGGGCGCAGACGTCAGCGAGCCCGCGGCCTAAGACGCGGCGCCTGGCTGCCGCTGTCCCCTGGCCTCCTCCTTTCAAGGTCGGCAGGGCCAGGCCCGAGCGCCCACCGACGGCACCCTGGGCCCGGAGCACTCGCGGGCCTCCTCCCGGATGATTCAGAAGTCCCGGCCCGCGCTGCTGCCACCCCAAGATGTCGGAGACACGGTGGAAACGCTTATGGTGAGTGAACTGCGGGGAAGCGCAGGCAGGGGTTCCGGGACCGCCGGCTCGGGAGGGGAAATTGGGGAGGTTGCTGAGGTCAGGGACCCTCGGGGGACCTCTGGCGCGCCCCGGATGCGGGCGGAATTGGGGACTTGGCGGGAAAGATAGAGTTTAAAGGGATTAGAGAAGGGACGGGGAGGCGGGAGGTAGAAGAGAGGGGCTGCGCCCGGACCCTCGGGACCGGCAGGCGGCTGGATCGGAGTCTGGGTGGAGAGCTGCGGAATTGCCGGGGCTGGAGCGGCAACAGGGGGGTGTGTCGGCGGAGTGTGCGCGGCCTCTGCGAGGTGCGTGGCTGCCGGACGTTGCGTGGAGTAGGTTGCCCGGAGTGACAGGTGGGATCTTCGGGCAGATCTGGCAGATCTTTGGGTTATCGCAAGGTCCGGTAATAGCGCCGAGTCTGAGGACCGTCGGTGTCTGAGCTGGCCCCAAACCGCCCCGGCGCCGGGCGGCAGCGCGGGGAGGCCGGCGAGCAGGCCGGAAGGCTCCTTCTTAGTCCCCGGCTTCCGGCCGGCCGCGACCTGGGGAGGAACTCGGGCGACGCCCCGCCCCTCCGGCGTCCGGATTGGTTGTTGTGGTCGGGCCGCCGGGTCGCCATTGGCGGAGGCGGAGGCGGGGCTGGGTTGGCGGGTATCCCGGAGGTTGGTCTGGCACAGTCTTTGCTGTAGGTGGGTGCAGGTGGGGGTGCGCCCGGGTCTCGGGCGGGGAGTGGCAGCTTTCTCTCGGTGGTCGGCCTTGCGCCCCGGGGCAGGTGTGTGGGGGCTGTATAAGGACTATTTTTTTCTTTTTAAAATATCCTTGGAGGGGGAAGGCAGCGGCTCTAAGTTGACATCTTTGAAAACACGCTTACCTTTTCCTCTTTCTGAGCCCTCCAGCTCTCGCCTCCAGATCTGAATTGGATTTAGGAATTTTTTTTTTTTAAGGGCAGTAGGAGTTGCTTTTGGAAGCAGTTTGCTAACTTTTTAGTGCTACTCATTCCCTTTGTGTTGTGTCTATTGCTTGGTTTTGCCCTCCCCTCTCTCCCTTAAAAACAAAACAAAACTGGATTATTAATCTCATTTTCCTTTGAACTATTTTTTAAAAACTCTAAAAAGGATGCGTGCCATCCACTATTGACAAAATCTTAAGCCCATTCAGTATTACCTGTTGTTTTTTGGTTTTTGTTTTTTTTGGTTTTGTTTTTGCCTATTAAAGGTTGATCTGTACTTCTAGTATATATAAAATAGCATCTGCTCTGTGCTGATGGGCCTGGAAAATTACAAAGTTACAAAAGTTATGGGATCTATTTGTTTATTTAAGAATTATTTATTGAGCCAGTAATGTCCAATCGCTGTGCTGTGAAAATAAAGACAATTAAGAAGATATGTCCTGCAATCAGCGGTGGGGGTGGGTGAAGGCCAGCAGCCTTAAAACAGATTCCACACAATACCTGTGGGAGCACTGGGGAAGCAGCACCTAGGAGAACGGCTCAGAAGATTTATCACTTTTGAACACATACTGTGCACCAGGCTTCCAGGTTAGTTCTTGAGTTACCACTATGCATAAGACAGGCAAGAGTTGTGACAGCACTTACCCTAGAGTCTACTCCTAGACCCTTAGTCATAAGGGGGTGGGGCACTGAGTCTGAATTGGAAGATTTAGGGAGCAGAGACACAACACATGAGAGTTTTCAGAGGTGAGAAAAAGGCAGAGTCCTCCATTTTTTTTTAAGAGACAAGAGTCTCACTCTATATTTGAGACAGAGTCTCACGCTATTACCCAGGCTAGAGTGCCATGGCGTCAGCCTAGCACACAGCAACCTCAAACTCCTGGGCTAAAGGGATCCTCCTGACTCAGCCTCCCAGGTAGCTGGGACTACAGGCATGTGCCTCCAGGCCCAGCTAATTTTTTCTATATATTTTTAGTTGTCCGCCTAATTTCTTTCTATTTTTTTTAGTAGAGATGGGGTCTCACTCTTGCCCAGCTAGTCTCGAACTCCTGAGCTCATACGATCCGCCTGCCTCAGCCTCCCAGAGTGCTAGGATTACAGGGGTGAGCCACCATGCCCAGCCTGCAGAGTCCTCCATTATGGCCAAGAGTGTATTAGTGGCAGGGTGAGAGCATAGGCCAGAAAGGTAAGCAGGAGCTGCATGATTTACAAAAGGCCTTGCAAGCCAGCAGTTTCAACTTTATCCTGAGAGGAAGGAACAACTAAAAGGTATTAATTTGGTTGTTTTTTTTTTTAAATTAATTCAATGAATATAAATGACAAATTTATGTGATATGTTGTAGTTCCTAATACATTTATCACTACCTGTATTTTCATTCCATCTTTTGTTTTCTTTTTTACACTGGTAACTTAAAATTGTACAAAACATTGTCTATCATTGAAAAGTTTTTGCACCTGGAAGCAGTGTGGTCAGGTTTGCAGTTTTATAAGATGGCTCTGGCTGCAGGGTAGAAAGTGGCTTAGAGGGGTCACAGAGATGAGGTGAAGAGGTGGTAGCAGTCACCAAGGCTAGATGTGGCAGGGCTTTGAGCTAGGATTGATTTCAGAGCTGTTTAGGAGGTAGAATGAGCAAGGGTAGAGAGGCTGTCAAGGGTGGTGCCCAGGTTTCTGGCTTGGGTGGCTGGATAGATAATGGCAAGCATGCACTGGGATGGGGCACCCTAAAGGAGAACAGGTTGGAGGCAAGGGACAGAGCCGAGTTCAGGTTGAGAAATACCATCTGAGGTGGCTGTGGGACATCTGAGTAAGTGGCTATATGGTCTGAAGCTCCGAGAGAGGCTGCAAGTGTGGATAAAAGGATGGAAATGAAAGCTGTAGGGCCATGGTTCAGGGGAACATTTCCATTTAAAGGAGGAGAGGCTAGATAAATGGGAGGAAAACCAGGACACTATTAATCTCTGAAGCCAAAGGAAGAGAGCATTTCAAGGAATGAGCAGTGGTCAATGGTAGAATGTCCCTGTGCGGCCCACAGGTGTACTGGATTTAACTTTAGACTAGGGGGTATGATGAAAAGAACATAAACTTCCAGCCCTGGCCAATGGCTTCAAACCTTATGACAGGACACATTTGTAACCTCCGAGCTTCAGTTTAATCTGCAAAATGGGTTTAAAATACCTAGCTCACAGAGTGGTGTGAGATTTTGAAGTGGTGTGTGTAGATGCCTTGTCCAGTGCTGCTCTGGGAGCAGAGTGGAGGGTAAGTTGGCACAGTTGAGGCTGGACACCATGGAGGTGGTGAGGATGGATGGGGCAGGGGCAGACTGGGAAGACTGAGGGCTCAATCAGGAGGACTTGGTCATGAAGCAGCAGGCATGGTGAATTCTACTTGTCTCCCAGGTTTCTAGCCTGGGGACTTGAAGTAACCCAGTGTGGATTGGAAGAGAGGCAGGTGTGTGGAGAATGGTTGACCAAGTTTCCACTTTGATGTTGAGTGTGAGATACCTGTGGGCCACTGCAGGGGAGACTGAGGCCTTGGGATACTAGATAGACAGGACTGCAGAGAGATGTGGGTGTTATCAGCACGTGTGAGACCAGTGGGTGAGACTGCCCTGAGAGGAGATAAGAGGAGCAGCCAGAGGGGCAGGCAGAGAAAAGGGGATTTGAAGGGCAGTCAGAAGAGGAAAGAAGAGAGGGAAACCAGAGACCAGAAACCAGAGAGGACCTCAGCCACGTGGAATGCACCAGGGAGGCCAAGTAAGATAAGGACAGGGACAGGAAAGGGGTCTTGAAGTGCACAGGTCCTTGGTGAGCCATCAGAGACTACATTCATGGAGATCAGCTGAGGGCAGACTTGGGGGGCCTGAGGAGTGACTGACCCAGAGTGAATGGAGATGGTGTAACATTGGGCTGGAAAAACAGAGGCTCTGGAGCATGTTTCCCAGCAAAAGAGGAGATGCCAACGGGAGATAGGCCCAGTGTGTGGGGAATCAGGGCTTACTGATGCCACAAAGTCTAGGAAGAGGCTGAGAAACACAGAACTCCTGAGAATATTGGTTAGCAGAGAGCAGGGTACCTCTGAGGGAGAGGGAATTGATGCCAAAACAGACCTATCAAAATCAACCCCCCCCCATGATACTTTAGAAGCTATCGGGATGTGGTTGTAAGCTCCAGTGTTTAATTAGCTGAACTTAGTCTGTGCCCAACAAACAGTCTTGTAAGGAATTACAGTTATAACTTGCTCCTTGCTTAAAATTTGGAATGATCTCCTCTGTGAAGCAAATACCATAGGTTATAAACATTTCAGTTCTGGATAAGTAGTTGTGTGATGTGTATAGTGGGACACTTTATATTCATCTTAATGTTTTAGGGCTATAGTATGTCATTTACTAAAAAATAATAGTGCAAATGCTACTTGATAAGGAAAGAGACGGTCTTTTTGGCTGGAATTTGCCAAAGTTTGGAGAAGATGGTTTTTCTTTCTGGTTGGTTTTTTAAAAAGTGCCTTGTCAAAGTCATTTGTGATTCTACTGGGTTCTAGGGGCCGGGAAGGAGGACCCTGTCCTGTAGTGGCAACACCAGTGCTGGGAGCTGAGGTTCCTGGAATGTGCTTGGGGAGGTGCAGTTAGTCTTTGAAGGAGTTCTACCCTTCTGGGTGGTGCCTGTAGATTAGGCGGCACATGTGACAGTGTGTGGGTTGAAGGAGAGGCAGCAAGCCCGGAAGGACACTGGTCTTTAGAGCCGTCTGATTTGCCTAGGTTTTAGGTATAAGAGATGGGGAAGGTTTTAAACAAAGGGAATGTATAGATTATACAGGAAGTGGCACTTATTTGTGGCCGAGCTTAATTTTTCATTTGCTTTGGCTTGCTCCAGCAAAAATACCTACAGGTCCTGCAGCTAAGGGAGCCTGGAAACCAATAGTTAAAATACTACGTTCAGTTGATTTTGCTTTTGCAACGATAAGGAGATGACCAGTAACTTTTGGAGTCAGGACAGATAGGGAAGTGTGGTCGGTGGTGTGGAGATAGACGTGTCGTGTCGTGTCGTTCAGTGGGAGCACAATTATTAGCAGTACCAAGACCAGAGAGACACACCTCTTGCAGTGTACAACGTCCTCACCAACATTCCAGATTCCAGTATTGTTCATTTCTGGCTACCTTTTTTCCTTCTCTGAGGTATGAAGATAGCATGAGGCATGACCAGGTGAGTTTCCGAGGGATACTTTTAAAGGAATTCACTGGTCCAGCTGTGGAGAAAGGTGAGGCTTGCTCAGGCAGAGCTGCTGACACGATGTTCTCTCGCCCTGCAGTTACATCCGGCGATCAAGGCTTTCCTGTGTGGCTCCATCAGTGGGACCTGCTCTACCCTCCTTTTCCAACCTCTGGATCTCCTGAAAACACGCCTGCAGACTCTCCAGCCCTCAGACCATGGGTAGGGCTTGCTGCCCACATTGCATTCAGGAACTGCTTTCAACAACTTCTCGTATTTGTTTCCTGTTTATTAAACGGGGTCCTTTCCTAAGCAGCTCCCTGGGATCTGTCTTGGTGGCATTTGCATTTTATTGTGCTAGCTTGTGATGTTATAACTGTATTGCCCGGTATGAGTAGTGGGTGGTTTTCTGGAAATAATACCAGTGTTGATAGTCTGTTTTGTGCCCCCCACCCCTTTTATTGAGCTCTGCACTTTGGGAAGTATACAAAGTATATATTAAATGGGAGGTTATCCCATTGCTTACAGTGTAAATGGACAAATAAGCGTGTGTACCAAACCATGAACACACAGGAATTCAGAGCAGCCCCAAGATATATTGTAGAGATGCTTAAATGTTCTAAAAAAGAGTCTATGCAAAGAAGTCTTTGAGGCTGGGCACAGTGGCTGACACCTGTAATCCTAGCACTCTGGGAAGCCCAGGCGGGAGGATCACTTGAGCTCAGGAACTTCAACCTGAGCAAGAATGAGACCCGTCTCTACTAAAAATAGAAAAATTAGCCAGGTGTCGTGGTGTGCACCTGTAGTCTCAGCTATTGGGGAGGCCGAGGCAGGAGGATCGCTTGAGCCCAGGAGTTTGAGGTTGCAGTGAGCTATGATGACGCCACAGCACTCTACCCAGGGGAAGAAAAAAAAAAATCTTTGGGTGGGGAATTCTTTCATGAGGAAGTGATGTAAGTGATTTTTTTCTTCCCTGTCTCCTTTTTGTCTGCCTTCAGGTCTAGACGAGTTGGGATGTTGGCTATACTCTTGAAGGTGGTTCGCACAGAGAGTCTTCTGGGCCTTTGGAAAGGGATGTCCCCTGTAAGCTGCCTTCTGGGTCTGGGTTCTCTTGCACTTACTCCTTTGCTAACCAGCCGTTTGTCATCCACCTCACCAGCTCTTAAGGATCCAAGAGAGAAGGATGGGAGTCCCCACGTGGTCTTCCTGCCCATCTCTCACACTATCACTAACTTCTGTCTGAGGGCTTAGGGAGTGGTGCATCTGTACGCCTTAGATAAGATTTCTGAGTTTAGCCTAGTCTCTACAGTGGGTGCAGCTGGCACCCCACCCTCCAGGATATCCTGGCCCTTCCCACTCCAGTGAAAGTGGGCCGAGACTGCCACACTTGAATTTCTTTGCACAAAGGCCTTTTCTGGTCTTAGAGACTCACTTTGCTGGAAGGAATCACCAAGAAATTAATGCCCACCCCAAACCCACAGCAGTCCTCAACCACTGAAAGATGAGAGTTGATGTTCAAAACCTACTCCTTCAGGTGGAAGGGTGACTCTGAGGTGTGTTCTACACCGATCCCCAGGGTTCCCCAAAGGGATTAAGTTGCCCACAACAGTAACTGGTTTTTAGGCAATCAATAAGTGCCCTTTATTGACTGCATTCCCTCCCATCTCACTTCCCTCACTCTCCTATTGGTGCTCCCTCCACACCTTAAATAAAGTACTTGCATGCAAGTCATCTTGGGGTCTTTTGGGAAAACCCAGCTAACACAATATCTTACACTGTTGGGTCTTTTGATTTCTTTTTTCCCCGCTGACTTTTTCTGCAGTCCATTGTGCGATGTGTCCCTGGTGTTGGAATCTACTTTGGCACTCTCTACTCTTTGAAGCAGTATTTCTTGCGAGGCCATCCCCCGACTGCCCTGGAGTCGGTCATACTGGGGGTGGGCTCTCGCTCTGTTGCAGGAGTCTGCATGTCGCCTATCACTGTGGTCAAGACACGTTACGAGGTGAGTGTGCCTGCTTTAGGGCCTCGGGGGTGGTTAAATGGAGCCACTGGGCTCTTGGGTAGTGACCACTATGTCAACTTCCAAGTTATAATCTAACATAGAGTCCAGTGTGGTCAGAGAACCCATTTGTGTAAGCAGGCCAAGCCATTTGTGAATGCTCTGGTAATCCCACATGTAATCACAGTGCTCCGGTAATCCCACATCACCTGCAGTCTGCTTGGCTCGGTGCTCAAATGCAAGGCCCCCGTGCCAGCCACTGGTTCTGTGCTCCCTTTGCAGAGTGGGAAGTATGGCTATGACAGTATCTATGCCGCCCTGAGGAGCATCTATCGCAGCGAGGGGCACCGGGGCCTCTTCAGTGGCTTGACAGCGACTCTCCTTCGTGACGCGCCTTTTTCAGGAATCTACCTGATGTTTTACAACCAGACCAAAAACATAGTGCCCCACGGTACGGATGCAGGAGGGTGTGGTGGGAGAGAGATATCCCTGAGATGCCAGATCCTCACTTTTTTTCTCTGGGATATGAGAATATTTGTTTTTCTTAGCAGCTCCAGACTCTTAGCAGAGTTTTAAGAACTGAGCCCTACCAGGATTGTGTCAGGACCTGGGCTGGGTGCTGAGAGGCAAAGGTGGATGTGACAGACTCGGTCCCTGCCCTTTGGAGTTGACATCCTATTAAGGCAAAGAGTACTTATACTGCCATAATTTGGCGGTGGGGGTAGGGTGGGTGGGAGGGAAATAAAGCATGTTTGCAGAGGTCTTTGCAACAGTTTTGCAACAGTACTTCCCAAATTTGATCTTAAGATTGCTAGATCTCATCCCAGGCCTCCTCGATGACAGAGTTTGGGGTGCAATCTAGGAGTCTGTATTTTTCAGGAAGCACTTGATGTGATTCTTGTCAGACAGGTTTGGGAAACACTGATGGGTTAGGAGCTTGAAGAAAAATATTATTTTGACCTCCTTTGCTGTACTCCCAAGTTAATGTGGTTTTGAGCCCTCCATTTGGGTAGAAATGAAGGTGCCAAACCCAGTCCCGTCCCAGCCCTCCCTACTACTAAGTTTGTGTTGGGCTAGCCGGAGGCAAAATCAGTGGGTGGTAAACATCCAGCCAAGCAGAGCGAGGTGTTGCTAGCGACACATCCCATGAATGAACCAGCATTTAGTAAGGTGTCTATGGATAACTCGAGCAAGGAATTGACACCAGGTCGATTAGGAAAGTTGGAGTGCTTTGGGAGATTTCCTGCTTTTCCCCAGGCACCAGGAGGTGTAACTCTGCAGGTCGCAGCCTTATTATCAAATTCAGGAACTTTAATATAGATAAAGTTCTGTAATCTATAGTCTATATTCTGATTTCTCTAATTGTCCCAACAGTATACTTTATAGCAGTTTTTGTTTTTTATTTGTAAGAGTATAAGCCAGTTATACCTCGGTATGAGTTTATCTGATGTTTCTTCATGATTAGATTCAGTTCTACACTTTTAGCAAGAGGACCATATAAGTGGTGTTGTATCCTCACTCCCTTATGTCAGGAGGCAAACCTGTGGCTTTGGGGCTACATGTGGCTGTCTGGATCCTTGAGTGTGGCCTTCTGACCAAATCCAAATTCCACAGAACAAATCCTTTTTAAAAAATACAAAATTTTCGTCCCACAAAGATACACTTAGTTGAGTTTTCAGGGAAGGGGTTTGTTCTGTGGAGTTTGGATTTGGTTGAGGGGCTGCACTTGGGGATCTGGAGGGCCACATGTGGCCTTGAGGCTGCAGGTTCCTTACCCCTGGCACCCATTGTGAGTGTTGATAACACTTTATCACTTACTTAAGGTACTGTCTGCCAAGTGTGTCCCCTGAAAACTCAACTGAGTATATCTTTGTAGGAAGATAATTTTGATTCTATATAAATAATCGTGTTTCTTTGATCCACATGTTTTTGCATAGGTTAATGATTCATGCCTGAGTCAATTATTATGGTGGGGTTGTGAAAAGGTGCTTTTCTGACTCCATCGTTCCATTTGCATTTATAACTGCATGTTGCCTTTGTTTTATTTCAGACCAATTGGATGCAACGCTTATTCCTGTTGTGAATTTCGGCTGTGGGATATTTGCTGGTATTCTGGCTTCACTGGCAACTCAACCTGCAGATGTTATCAAAACTCATATGCAGCTCTCCCCAGTGAAGTTTCAGTGGATTGGCCAAGCAGTGACACTCATTTTCAAAGTAAGACTGTGGAATAAGTATTGGTTCTTGTGCTTTAGGATCTCTCTGTCTCTGTCTCTCTGTCTCTGTCTCTCTCTCTGTAGTTCTCATCCTTCATAGATATTAGAATCACCCACAGAGCTTTTAAAACTCCCCATTCCCAGGTCAAAATCTAGGCTAATTATATCAGAATTTCTAGGGGGATGAAGCCCAGCATTGTTTTTTTTTTTAATGCTCTTCAGTGATTCTAATGTGTTGCCAAAAAAAAAAAAGAAAAATGTTTTTTGAGGACAGGAGGCACTTATATTTGGACCACCTGTGATATTTGTTAAACATGTGGATTGCTGACCTCTACCCCAGACCTACTGTGTAGGACTTAGTACTCTAATAAAAGATCTAGGACAAAATACTGTGTTCGGGGAGGGAAAAACATAAACACATTGTTTTGTTCTAGTAGTTTGTGCTAATACAAATGGACAGAGATGGTATTATTGAAGATAAAAAGTGCACTAGAGCACTATTTATAAACCACTGTGTTGGTCCTTCTGGAACACAAAGCAGGTATTCTTGTTAGAGATAAATATGAATTTATGAATCTAACATTCCTCACACTATTTCAGTTCTTTCTCTATACCAAAAATCATAAAGTTTCAAAATAATATATTCTTCAGTACATGTGAATTATAAATCAGTCGAGATGATGAAGGAGGAGGAAAGAGGTTTTTGGTCTTTAATTCTTTTAAAGCTAGGGCCACCAAGAGCATATAGTGAATTACAAGAAGGTACTCTTGATAGACAAAGGGCAAGAAGACACCTTTTCCTTCAGCCTGGATCCAGGATCCAGGCCTTGGCAAGCAGACATTTGTCTGCATGCCATCTGCTACTGGGGCTCAGTGCTTCTGCGCAGCGTACAAACCATACCACTGTACACAGCCACCCTGCATAAAGATTTTTCAGCTAAGAAATTCCCCTAGATGGCAGGCCTAACAAGGTAAAGCCTCGCAACTACACACAAAAAAATTTATTTTAAGTTCATCGATTATCTCCTTGGACCCATTATTCATAGTTTTGGCATGAAGTTTAGAAACGAAGGCTCAAACATGGGATAACAGACCTTCACTCTGGTACCAAGTAGATAATTAATTGTATATACTGCTTTGCTTCTGAAGTTTTGACATTTATCTTCATCATAGGACTATGGACTTCGTGGCTTCTTCCAAGGCGGTGTCCCCCGGGCCCTCCGCAGAACTCTGATGGCAGCAATGGCATGGACGGTGTATGAAGAGATGATGGCCAAGATGGGCCTGAAGTCCTGACCAAGAGAGCGCTGGGAAAGGGTGGAATCTATTGCCCTGCTTGGTTTCTGCCAAGGGCTGCTGCTTCTCACTATCCTGGAGTAAGAGGTAGACCTGTATGGAAACCAGGCAGAAATGGCATTGCCTTTGCCTTCGGTAACCCCATTCAGGGAGAGAATAGATGAACCTGACTCAAGCCTTCAGAATCTCCCAGAAGAGGAGCCATCAATACACACAGCACACAGGGGAGTTAGGAGAAAGCTTTGCATACCCTCGAGGCTACTTGCAAAGGCGGTTCTGGGGAGGGCTTTGTCAGGCAGCTCTGATTTAGTCTCCCCACCGTACACCGTACACCGTGGTGCCTCCTTGGGGACGTTCTTGGGCAAGGAATCACAAAGCCTGAGAAGCTACAGCTGGGGAAGACTGGATCTGAGGGGAGGAGTCATTGTCACCAGGCTGAAGACTCTGAGGTGGTGGCAGGATGAGGAAGAAAAGATGTCCTTATTTAGTGGATTCCTAGTCAACTTCTCAGAGGCTCTGGAGAATGGGGACAGTGGCTTCCTAGCTTCTAAATGTCCAAATAAAATTTTTTGGTTTTGGTCCCTGTACTGTTTAACCTCTAAGTTGTTCTGACATTTTTTTTCCAACTAAAGTTCAAATAAAGTGAAGTACTATATTGTTGAAAGTTGTTGGGAAAACCTAAATAGTGTTATTGCTGTATTTTAAAATCACAAAATAGTTCTAGGGTGGCTGGCTCTAGACCTTTATAAGTCCCTAAAACCTATTTTTTTTTTAAACAGCCTTATTTTACATATTATAACAATTCACCTGTTTCAAGTCTACAGTGATTTTTAGTAACTTTACTAAATGGTGTAACCATCACCATAAATCAGTTTGAGAATATTTTCATCCTCCAGTAAGATCTCATATAATTAATCCTCACTCCCAGGCCAGCTCACCACAGATCTATTTTCTGTCTTTATAAATTTCCCTTTTCTGGATACTTCATGTAAGTGGAATCATACAATATGTAGTCTCTTGTGTCTAGCTTCTACTTTGCGTAATGTTTTTGAGGTTCATCCACGATGTGGCAGGTACAATACTTATTTTTTATGGCTGAATAATATTCTATTGTGTGTATATACTATATTTTATTTATCCATCAGTTGATGAATAGTATGGTTGTTTCTACTTTGGGACTATTATGTATAATGCTGCTATAAATATTCATGTGCAAGTGTTTTTGTGGACAGCTGTTTTTATTTCTCTTGGGGATATACCTGGGAGTGAAATTGCTAGATCATGTCATAACTCTGTGGTTAACACTTTGAGGAACTGCCAGACTTTTCCAAGGTGGCTGCACCATTTTACATTCCCAGCCACAGGATATGAGAGTTCCAGTTTCTCCACATCGTTGTCTACACTTGTTATTGTCTGTTATATTTTGTATAACCATTCTAGTTGGGTACTCAACTTTTTTCTTTCAAATTTGGGAAAGAGCCATAACTTTGTCCAAGCAGCAGAAGTGGGGGATGTTTGGTTAAGAACATGGGCTTTAATCCAGGCAGCCAAGTTAAAAGCCTGCTTTCCACTTACTTAGACATCCTGAAAGTGTACCTGTGAAATGGAGATACTAATATTTCCTACCTTTTAGGGTGGTGGTGAGTTTCTGGAACATATGTTGTATTAGCCTCATGACAACAGAAATTTATTCTCTGAGTCTGGATCATGCTCTCTCTTAAGGCTCTAGGGAGAATCATTCTTTCCTGTTCTACCTTCTAATGGTTGCTGGCAATATTTGGTGTTCCTTTCTGCCTGTGTTCACAATGCCTTTCCCCCGGTGTTTCTGTGTCTGTCTAAAGGACACCAGTCGCTGGATTAAGACTCATCCAAACTCAGCATGACCTCATTTTAACTTGCTTTTATCGGCAAAGAGCCTATTTCCAAATAAGGTCACATTCCCAAATATTAGGGGTTAGGATCCAATGTATCTGTTTGGGGAGGGGGGCACAATTCAGCCCATAACATACATATTAAGTTTACTTAATGATTTGTAGTAAAGTTTATATAATACTTTAGGTTTTAGGATAAATTGTCCTATTCAGAATAATTTGGGTAGGAGAATGGGACAGGGTGAAGCAGGTCCTAATCTCATGGTGGCATATTTAGGCCAGCACCTGAGCCATCTGTGCTGTGACCTGCATGTTGTGAGACCTTGTGCTGTGGGAAGCAGAAGCACTGAGGACCAGAAGGGAGGGAAGGCGGATGGATGAGTGGCTGCCTCTGAAGGATGTCTGGGGCAAGGTATTCCATGCCCTGTCTAGGGCGTCTTCAGCCTCCACTGACCCTCATTTGGGAGCCCAGAGAGCCTAATGCCAGAAAGGTCTCTGGGAGAGAGGGGCACAGATGAGACCAGGAGGTGTGAGCTTCTTCCCAATGGAGATTTGCTCTCCTTGTACTTGCAGGTGAATTTCAGCCACCAGAGTCCCCTTATATGATCTTCATTTGGGGTTTTGGGGTGGGGAGGGGGGAAATAAACATAAATTTAGGAGAAAAAGTCTATATTAAAACTCAGGAAGTAGCTAGTGAGCTCTAGCTGGCTTTGCAAACTGCCCACTGCTTGCTTGTTTTTTTAATTTTTTTTTTATTTTTATTTATATATATTTTATTTTTATGTATATATATTTTAAATATATATAATTTGTTCTTGGCTTAACACATTATTTAGAGGTGGGTTTTGTGGGAGGAAAACAGTCATCTGGTGACTAAAGATAATGCAGTGTAGGGAAGGGCCAAAAGAAGACATAGAAGCAAAGGTTTCAAGCTGCATTATACACACTTTCTAAAAACATATTATGATGAAATATTTCAAACCATCACAATAGTAGAGCAAATGGTATATTGGCCCATCATTCATATCACTCGGATGGAACAGTTGGCAAGATTTCACCACACTTGTGTCCCTGAACTTTCTGCCACCCCTTCCCCCACTTTCCTTTCTTTTATGAAGCTTTTAAAGGCAGACGCCAGACCTCACACCACTTCTCCCTTCCTTACTTCCATATACATCTCTCAAACTTACAGACATTTTCTTATACAAGTACAATGTCATTACCCTACCTGGAAAAATTTAATAAATGTTTTACATATCTATATTTACATTTTCCTGGTTGTTTCCAGAATAATTATTTTTTATCATTTTTTTTTTTTTTTTTTAGAGACAGAGTCTCACTTTGTTGCCCAGGCCAGAGTGAGTGCTGTGGTGTCAGCCTAGCTCACAGCAACCTCAAACTCCTGGGCTTAAGCAATCCTGCTGCCTCAGCCTCCCGAGTAGCTGGGACTACAGGCATGCGCCACCATGCCCGGCTAATTTTTTCTGTATATATTTTAGTTGATCAATTAATTTCTTTCTATTTTTGGTAGAGACAGGGTCTTGCTCAGGCTGATTTCGAACTCCTGACCTCGAGCAATCCACCCGCCTCGACCTCCCAGAGTGCTAGGATTACAGGCGTGAGCCACCGCGCCCTGCCAAGAATTTTTTTTTACCATTAGTTTATTTGAATCAGAATCCAAATAAGATCCACACATGGCTTTTGGTTTTTTAAATCTCTTTAATGCAGGACAGCATCTACTCTCCCCAAGAGAGCAGATGTTCTATGTTGTTCTATGTTGTCCTTGTAGAGACCAAGGGAAAAATTTTCTTCACTCTCTGAAAGTTCACTGAAAATCAACTGACAAAGGCAGAGTAACAGGAGAAAAGGCATATGAAATTTTATTTTAATGTGCATAGCATGGTGGAATTGCAGAATCATTACCCAATAACCCAATGGGATACAGAAGCTTATATATACTCCTTTTCATAGGAGAGTGGAGAGATGGGGAATGTAGTTAATTCTTTAGAGGAGCAGCAAATGATTATTAGGAAAGCCTAATAATGGATAGAAATTGACTTGTAAATGATTCTCCTTGGAATTTTTTTTCCTTTTTTTTTTTTTTGTGAGACAGAGTCACCTCGGCTAGAGTGCAGTAGTGTCATCATAGCTCGCTGCAACCTCAAACTCCTGAGCTCAAGGGATCCTCCTGCTTCCACCTCCTGAGTAGCTGGAAATACAGGTATGCACCAACACACCAGGCTAATTTTTCTATTTTTTGTAGAGACAGATGGAGTCTTGCTCTTGCTTACGCTGGTCTAACTCTTGGCCTCAAGTGATCCTCCTGCCTTGGCTTCCCAAAGTGCTAGGATTATAGGCATGAGCCACCAGGCCTGGCCTAAATATGTACAAATTGTAGAATGGCAAAGTCAAACTATTCAGCATACATATTATTTCACATACCTATTATTTTGTGGTGAGAACATTTAAAATCTCTCTAAGCAATTTTCACGAATACAATACATTGTTATTAATTATAGTCACCATGTTGCACAATACAGCTCTTGAACTTACTCCTCTTGTCTAATGAATAGCCATCTTTTATTTGATCCTGTTTGGTAAATCTGTGGAAACTTGCCAGCTTTCAGCCAAGTCTAAAGTTCTTCCGTTTCAATCATCAGACTCATTCTTCTGGTCTAGAATCTGTTCTGAGGACGGAACCCATGGTCCGGACGTACCATTGCTGATAACTTTCAAAGCAATGAGAAACTTCTAATCATCCATTTGATAAGACCCTTAGCTGTTGTTATTTGCCTTAATCCACAGGAAGAAATAGCTGTTGTATTTCATCAAATCTAATGCACTGAACATAAGATGTACCATTATTTTATGTCATCAAAAAAAGAAGCTGCTTAAGATTGCTTAAAAGAAAGAAAAAAAATTAAAAAAAAAAGAAGCTACTGAGCCAGGTGCAGTGGTTCGCACCTGTAATCCTAGCACTTTGGGAGGCGGAGGCAGGAGGATTGCTTGAGCTCAGGAATTTAAGACCAGCCTGGGCAAGAGCAAGACCCCCATCTCCACTAAAAATAGAAAAAAATTAGCTGGGCATGATGGCGCATGCCTGTAGTCCTAGCTACTCCGGAGGCTAAGGCAGGAGGATTACTTGATCCCAGGAGTTTGAGGTTGCTGTGAGCTAGATTGACACCATGGCACTGTAGCCTGGGCAACAGAGTGAGACTCTGTCTCAAAAAAAAAAAAAAAAAGCTACCAATTAATCCATAAAACAGCGAGATTATACAGCACATCCAGATTTTAGAAGCACTAAAGTGAAAAGAACTTAGATTTTAGAATTGATAAAACACATAATACGTTATGATCTGTTACATACGTTTTTAAAAATATGTGACAAACACTAATTCCTAAACAATACTTGTGCTTACTACATTCGATGTAGTTTAATATTTTCTACTATATCCCATTGTATACTCATAAAAAATGCTAGTTTCGGCATATTAAATTGACTTCTTGACTGATTATCCAGCCTCAACCTGCAGTTTGAAGAACACTGGATCAGATGGATTGCCGAGCTTTAGAGTACGGTAGTCGTAACCCAGATTTACTTTGAGAGGGCAACCCTGAAACTCCCGTATGCAGACAGCCCTTCGTATCTGCACGTTCCACATCCAAGAAGTCAACCAACCACATATTGAAAGTATTTAAAAACTAAAAAAATTAGAAAACACAAATAGAACATGCAGTGTATTAACCATTTACAAAGCATTTACATTGACTTAGGTATTATAAGTAATGTAGAGATGATTGAAAGTATATGGATGGATGTAGCTAGGTTATATGCAAACACTATGTCCTTTCACACAAGGGACTTGAGCATGCACAGATTTTGGCATGGGGCGACCTGGAACCAGTGCCTTTTTTGGATACTGAGGGGTGACTATAGTTCCTACACTTAACAGATATGTTCTGTGGGTTTTTAAAACAACTTCATTGCTATTCTCGGAGAGTTTTCCTTGAAAAAGGAAAAGAAGAAATTAAAGAATTAAAAAATATATTTTTTATAATAAATAAAATTAAAAAAAAACAACTTTATTGAACTATAACTGAGGTATGAGCTGCACATATTTAAAGGAACCATTTGAACAGATGTAAGTATTCACATGACACCTCACCATGATCAAGATAAGCAAATATTTCCATCACCCCAAAAGTTTTCTCATGTTATAATTTATCCCTGCCTCCATCCCCATCCCCAAGCAACCACAGATCCACTGTTACTATAAATTACATTTTCTAAAATTTTATGTGAATAGAATTATGCAGTATTTTTTTGGCCTGTTATGTTCCACTCA